CTGCCATTGCTGCTGTTGTTGCTACCTCCTGTTGCGCATATTGCAACGAAAAAGTTTCGTAACTGTATTTTCACATTTCCTGCAGATTGTAACGGGCAACGAGGAGCAGCCAGATAGTGTCGCTGCTGCTGCTGCTGCCTTTGCCATGACTGCTGCCAAAATGCTCAACAAAACATGTCGAAAATGTGCCACATGCCAGCAGCAGTAGCAGGAGTAGTAGTATTGGTAGCAGGAGCTGGGACAATGCTCCTGTTGCTCCTGTTGCATGCAACAGTTATGTACCAGCACAGTCACACAAACTGAAGTAGATAGAGGGACACAATGCCGGCAGCCAAATAGTTTTATACAAATGCACAGACAACACATTTCGACATGGCACATTTAGCATCCTTGAGCGGCATTTAACTTCATTTCGCCCACAGAGGATGGGACTCGGATACGAGGCACTTTGTTGATGGCTCCACTTGTTTCATTATTTGATTTAAAAACAGCACTTGGGGCCGTTCTCAGCCCGTTTATGCAATCAATGTCAACGGCAAACTTTGCCAGGCTTGTGCTTTTTGTTGGCAGGAAATTAAGTTTTTGGCACTTTCGGGCTGCGTCTTAAATGCTGTTTGACTAGCAGTATTCAGCAGCAGTAGTGGTAGCAGTGGTAGCAGCACTTCATTGAGGTCAAGTGCAATCTACTGCCCATATGGCCAATAAATCAGCCAATGGCCAGAGCCACGCCAAGAGCAAGTCCAATGGCAAGACCTGGCTCACCGCCTCTAAACTTGTCTTTCCTAGCTTGCATTGCGGAGTTTGTTTTTTTTTTCCGTTTATTCGCTTCGTTTTTCGTTTTTTATTTCTTGGCCGTTTTTGTAGGTGAGCTGGGCCATGAACGAGGGGCAGGCTCGACCTTACTAGCCAGGCTCGTGGCGTGGAGTCGTGGGGCTCTGGGCCGCAGATCGCAGATCAACGTTAGAAATGGAAATGCGCTTGACTGCATACAATGGTTGCGGCAACTGAGGCAACTGCAGCAGCAGCGGCAGCAACCGGCGAATGTGTGTTACTGTAACTGAGCCAGCAGCCTGTTAGCCAGTTAGTTGGCCATCTAACCAGCCAACTAGCCAGCTTGCCAACCAACCACTCGACTTCGGTTTCGTTTTCGATCTTCCTGTCATTGTGTTGCCGTTGCGGCGCGTGCTCATCTTGCTTTAGTTAGCCGATGTTGCTGACTGCACTTGTTGCACACGCCCGCGGCAACCTGCAACTCGCAACTTGCAACAGGTGAGAGTTGTCACGGCTTCGCCGTTGGCGATGCGCAAACGACAAATGCTGGCTAACGATAATGATCTCTAATCAGCAGATGTCGGCTTCAGGGTCGCCGGATATAGTATGTTCAAGGCTGATAAACGAGATACTTGGGCAAATATTGCTCATACGACATGTGATGCCAAAAGTAAATGATTCTGCCTCAGTTACTTTGGTTTAAGCTTATGTAAAAGGAGGAAATAAATAAAGAGATTCAAAAGCAGTATTTTTTAATACCTAATATATTTTATATATATTTATTTGTTATACAATATATTAAGTTAAATAGATACAAGACCATCTCTTTTAAATTCTAATTTACTTTAAAGCTTTCACTTAAGGCAATCCAAACTTCCTTATGTTTTTATATGCTTTACATATTCTTCCCATTCAAATTAAGCGGAATTATCATATTTGCACAACCCAAAGCACTCCAATTAGCACATTTTACTATGCGAAGGTCGATCGCAACATCTCAATAAAAAGATCATGCAACCAAGCCAGCCACCATGGAAATCTGAACAAAAATTTTCTAGAAAGTACATCTCTAAGCAAACAGCACATAATTAATAAAATTATGAGAACACTTTGGGGGCGATACAAAAAAGCGGATTGTAAGCGATTATTTCCGCCTTTTTCCGGGCGACCACAAAAACGATAAATTAGTTATAAATTCATCGATTGGATATGAATATGAATGGCGAAAAGAGTGTAAAATTGCTATGCAAATCGAGTGTTTAGAATAACAAAAAGCGAAGGCTTTCAGGCATGCAAAGCATCTCCAGCAATTGGAACAATGGAAAAATAAAAAAAATCGCACTGCAAAACGATTTCAAGGCCTTAACATTGGCTGAAATTCGGCCCAAGTCACTTCAACTTCAACTTTGAGCTAATGAGAATTCGAGTGCAGTCGGTCCAAACTGGTTAGCCGAAATGCACTTTGTGCCCAGATCACATCCAATCCAATCCAATCGAATCCCAGCCGAACTGAACCGAAACCAAAGCAATCCAATTGATATTAACTCGTTTTGTTCTAGGCAGCAGCAGCATTTTGTGATCTGTGGTGGCTTAGAACCTTTGGCCAGCCAATCAACTGCTGCCATTTTTTGTGATTTTGTATTCTATATATTCCACAGCCGTACATATTATACTGAACACGGCTACAAGTTTCCAGCTTCTAGCTTCTAGCAGGGCGGCCTTGATATTTTGTTTTATTTATGAAATCAAATGCAGGCGAGCGAGATACGAATACCGACAGCCACCAGATACTGGTGGCATTTATTATAAAAAGCTTTCGAGTGAATGAATTCCCCTTAGCTTTTGTATCTGTAACACGTATATGTATATAGTTGCCCCATCCCTCCCCCGTCTATCTTGGGCCTGTCTCCGATTCTCAGCCCGATGCGAAAGGCAGGAAGCCGCAGAGCTCAAAATAAGCATTGACTTTGCATATTTGTGTGTGACAGGCCAGCTGTATCTACGGATATGCCGGGGAATGTTTGGCATTTCCTTCGAGGGAAACTTGATTTGGTTTTAATTAGAAAATTACTTAAAATAATACCAAAAAGAAGGCGGTGGGCTTGCCCTAGGAATCGCTCAATCTACCATCTCGCTTGCTCGACTTCTGCACAACAAAAAATCTATGGCGTTTAATCTATGATCGCTTACTTTTTATTAATAAGGAGTGGTTACTAAGTAATGGACAGTATATTATATATATAATTTTTCACTTATAAATTCGTTACATATACATCAAATATATAGATAGTTAGAAACATCACATTATCTGTTCCTTAAGATTCCTCCAAATAGACTGTCATCTTGGATGATATTTTTTCCTGTGCTGCTCCTCCCTGGCAAATTGCTGGCAGCCTCTTCTGCCGGTTTTCTAGGCTTCTGTTCGGCTCTTCTGCTCATCCACTCCTGGCCTGGTAGTGCTTCTTGGTAGGCCGGCAACGTCCATCATAATCAACGTCCATCATCAGTTGGCTGCTGTTCGGCCGCGTGCTCCGCTGACACGCCCACAAAGCTACTGCTCAGCACGCCAACCTGCTACCTTCTGCCTTCTTCCTTCTGCCTGCTGTTGTTGTTGGGTTGCTGGGCCCAACTTTGGCATTGCCCGCCTTTGGCCATGGCAGCTGGGGTAATTTTTCATCAGCGTAAACATCTCGAAAACGCTCTTTGGGCTACCAGTTTTACTAGGCCTCGCAGATCGCAGAGCGCAGCGCAAGTGGCAGCTGCTCCTCCTGGCCGGTCGGTCATGTAAGCCAACATCAGCATATCTGCTATCTGATATTAGAATCTCAATTACTTTTTCTAGCTCTTCGGCTGCGGCTGCGGCTGCGGCTTCAGCTTCGGCTTCGGCTATTGTAATTTCCTTCGAAGGGGGCTGGAAAATCGAGCCGGTTTTTTCGGTTTTCGGTAGGCAAATATCCGCTGAGGTAAACATGAAAATTTAGTGGCTGTCATAGAGATAGCATGGGTTAAAGGAGAATTGCGAAAAGCCGGGAAGAACTCAAATTGCCTCCTATCAGATTTAATCATTTATCAGCCAACAGGCAATTACAGGTTGGGCATTTCCATTCATAGGCCCGAAAACAGAACAGAACAGAAAACAGAACAGAACAGAGCAGAGGGAAAACCCCCTTCGTTGTGCCTGAAATTACCCGAAATAGGAATGCAGTCCATAAAAGTTCCGCTGCATCTCATTAGATGCAGGCGGTCAGATATTAAGTGGGACCTAGTGAGTTAGCCAAACTCATAGCGAAATCCCAAACACGTTTCGCAATTTACGACTTTTTAATAATGAAACAAAACTAATTTAATGCAAAGCGACAACAACGACAACGGCTTTAGAATAAATTAATGTAATAGGCAGCTTAAACAACAAGAAATATTGCTGTTTACTTGTTTGAATGTGCAGTGAGTTTTAGAATAAGCGATCAAATTACAAAATTGCAAGCCAACGAACTTAAACGAATATTTGGTTTTTCCAAAAGTTTAAAAATAGTAATAAAATATTTTAAATTAAATAATAAAGGGGAAGTACAAATGGGTTTTTATCTATCAAATATTTTCAAAAACATTTTCTTCAATTTTAATGTCATGTTTTTCTTAATACGTCTTCTTCAACCAGAGTTTATTGAGATATTTTTCTAATTTGTATGAGAACTCAAACTAATTTCCTTGTTTACCTGAAACCCACTGTACTTGTAACTAGGAAATATCAAAAACTGGTAGCTGCCCGAATAGTAAAAGCCCCACCAATACTCTGGAAAAAACCACAAAATACAACAACATAGGCAACTAGAACTGCAATAAAAGTAAAAACAACAACAACAACAAATACAGCAACAACAAAAACAGTAACAACAGACTGGTGGCTTAGCAAGAATGCAACAACAAAATCAAGAAAAATAAATAATTTTTCAGCATATGAAATAATAAGACGAAAACGACAACAACAAATCTAAAGTGCAACAGGTTTTGTGTGTTTTCGCGATAACCTTGAAACAAAACTCGTTTAATCATTTCGTAGCGTTCGAAAATGCGGCAACAACAAAAGTAAATGAAATTTTATATGGCGCATTATAGATTTAATAAATTAACACTCATTTCCATTGGGGGAAATTTTTCGTTTCGTTTTATTTTTTTGTGTGTCGCGTTTCCAGCTAATTGTGTTGGCTTTTCGCCCTTGCGTTTTGCAGGTACAGTTGCGATTAAGCCATATCGCCGGAATCTGACAAAAGGAAAAGCTATGGCCGAATGTTCGTTCGCCAGATGTCTGCAAGAGCGTCGGCTCATCAAGCGGGAGCTACTGAAATGGTCCAAGGATATGCTGCACATTGTGGGTGAGTTTCAGTACTAAGTTTTAAGAGCTTTAAGTTATTATCCAGGGATCGATTTTCATTACATTTTTTCTTATTTTAACCCTCTCCCCCGTAATCAATCCAATTAAAATCCAGTGAAAGCCAAAAGGCGTCGGAAAAAAGCGCCGAAGCCAATAAGCAGGATAATGTTTGCCCAAGGTGGCTTAATCATCGCACCCCCGGATATTTTACACTATCTATGTGCAGCTCTCTTTTGAACTGCACACCGTTTTTTATTTTTGTTTTTTTGCTATTTTCCAAAGCCCCTTCCTCGACCCCATCGTTCATATTAAGGCCGCAAATGGGATTTGGCCCGTGTAAATGGCAAATGAAGTGGCTGCAAGTTGTTTGCCTGAAATTGACTTTAGCCAGACCTAATCAACATCGACTGGGCTTAAGCCCTTTCCATATGTTGCAGCGGTTCCGGAAAAAATCCAGGAGTCTAGCCAGGCACTGGGCAAAATTAACATAAATTGCCGAGCCGTTTTTTTTTTGGTGTGGCTGGTGTCACCCCTGGATATATATTCATTCCTTGGGCTCCTGGCTGCTGCTCCGGCCTTATCCTTTTGCCTGAAAACACTCATTTCGGTTTTTGAGCACGTTTAGCACGTTGCCAGCAATCCGGGTGCCACAACCAAGCCCACACCCCCATTAAAATGTTAAATGCCTTTTGTTGTTGCAGGGCTAGTGGCTGTATGTGTATATATAAATGCCGTTCTCCATGTACAAATATATGTATATAAATATGTGTGTGTGCAAGTGTAAGTGTGTACTTTTTTCTCGCCATCTCGCACACAAACACATCGTCCTTGCCTTGCGTCCCTGTCTCGTGCACTCAATTACTTCCTCAATGCGCTCCATAATGCTTATCGTCCTTGTTTCTAGTTGACATTCCCGCACAAACACAGAGACAGCGGCACCGCTTCCAGTGGTTTTCCCCCCTCTTCCTCTCCTCTCCTCTCCTCTAGCGTCCTCCCCGCCGCCTTTCCCCTTTAGGAAAACCCTTAGCACATTTTTCCAGCGACAATTTCTGCTCGGCTCTCCGGCGACGACGACTTCGTTGTCCTCGCTGCACGAAGCTGCAGCAAAATGTGAAAGAAGCCAGGCGAAATACGATAGAAAAAAAAAGGAAGCAAAAAGGATATATATGAACGGGTGTCTGGCTTTCGGGGGTCTGGGTTTCGGGTTAGTTCTAGCCAACATGGGTTAAAAGGGGGGCCGAAAACGAAGTGCTCTGCTGGAGATAACGAAGCGCACTTAAGCACACGCACACTCACACTAACACACATACGAACGCACACTCACACACACACATGCGCAGGAGGTGGGTGGTTTTTGGGGGCATGTCCCTACGAAATATATTGCACAATATAAAAATTGCAGACGATGAGTGCCGAATGCGTTTGCCGAAAAGGCAGCCGGAACTGTGGTGGGAAAAGGAGGGATTGGGGGGAATGGAAAGGGGGAGGGGGAGGGGAAAACTAGTACAAAAACAGCAGGAAAATCAACTACAACAATTGGCAAACGAACGAAGCCGAGCCGAAGGACGAGCCAACGAGGAGCGAGCGTTTTCCTCGCCTGTTTTTGTGGCCGATTTTCGTCGCCAACGAATTTTCCTGCATTTCTTTTTCGACTATTTCTCCTAGATTTTTTTTCGTATCAACACCCCGAAAAGCCAAACCACCCAACCCACCCAGAAAAACGATGCTGATCGAAGCTGAAGAGGAAGACAAAGACGTCGTCGGCTGGAATGGGTTTCGGGTGGCTCAATGGGCGAGTGGGTTAGTCGGTGGGTGGTGGGAGTAGTGTTGATGGGAAATCTCGCCTGTTGCATTTCCCATTTCCCCACCCAACTGTTGTCGGCAATGGCTCAATCAGTGAATCAGTGGTGGAGTTTCATTTGATTGTAATGGGAGCCCATCCACTTGTGGATTCAGGTGTGTGTTCCAAGTCGCTTCGACGGCCATCTGTATGCCAAACTGTGCGTTGGCATAAAGGAGCTTACACTAACCAAATTATATAAGCTGCATAAAGATAATTTTCGATGGCTGTTGGGGTTTGGGAAAATTTGTCTGGCGACTGAAGCCCGAAAGTATTTTGTACAAACTCTATTAGAGGAAATAACCCATTTCTAGTTTGAAAAAGATTTCGCAAGTTTATAAACTCGGTATTTTCAGTGCTTTAAGATTTGTAGTTTCCACAAAATGTATATAATCTATGTTAAGGCAACAAGATTTTAAGCTTTCAATTAATTAAGCAGTATAAAAACCAGCTTGACACTAGTTTTAAATCACACCTGGAAAAGTTCTGTAAGCGATGTCCGTGAGATAATGCAATCTACCTGAATATAGCAATAAAGAGCTCAGGCAAATATTTTGCCAAGCTTATATTTCCTTGCGAAAAAGTTATCCGGCAGAGAACAAACCCCAGCAGGGATTTAACTTGTTGCACAGTCGCCCCCTCACCCACCGTGCCACTTTTCCCACCCGAATCCTTTCTGTTTGGTCTGTTTGCCTGGAAAACTACACAACCCCCACCAGATGGGGTGTAAACATATTAAAAAGCCAAACTTTTCCTTTGCCTTTATTTACAAAAAAAAAAACTTAAATAAATAGAGGAAAAAATCTCGAATATATAGAAGAGAAAGAGATGCATTATAATGACGGGGAGGTTGGGGTGGCCGAAAGCAACAAGCTCCACATATATATATTTTTTATTTGCAGCAAGGAAGCGAGAGCGCAGAAAGTTTACGGGGGATGTGTTGGTGTATTAAGAAGCAGCAGGTGTTGGGCAATACTGTGGGCCATTTCCCCAATCCACCGCCTTGTCTCTATGTAGTGGTTGCCACCCACTCGAACCACCAACCCATTCGGCCACCCACATTGCCAAACGCATCTTTCGATAACGCCAACAACAAGCAACAATAAGGGAGAAGGAGAATAGCGTTGCAGGCGCCGCTGTCGGCGTTGGCTTTTCCCCCCTCTCCTTGCCTTTTCCTCCTCATCCTCTTCCTCTTCCCCCACCCCCTCCTCCACCCGTTCGGATTTTCCGCCCAGCGTCTTTGGCTGTAAGAAGGCATTTTTATGCCAGAAGGATGCAACAAGCGACGAGGACAACGTCGCGTCTGCTGGAGTGTGTGTGTGTGTGTGTGTGTGTGTGTGCGGGTGGGAGGGAAAGTGGGTGGCCAAACCCACCCAATCCTGGCCAGCATTTCATGGACTACGCAATAAGCACTCCACCTACTTTCCAATGTCGGGCGAACTATTTCCCCACCCTCCGCCTCCACCACAACCGCCCATTTTTTTTTGCGCTTTGCCTTTGCCTTGTTGAATTTTTTCCGGCGGTTTTTAGGTTACATTTTTACGAGTTTTCCCCACTTCCACTTCCACATCCACTTGTTGTTGTATTTGCGAGGATGACGCTGCAATCGCCGAAGGAGTCGCCGGGCTCCGCCATCGTCCTTCGTCCTTGGTCCTTCGTGTGAGCCAGCCAAATTCGTGGTGGTGTGTGTGCTTGTGCTTGTGTGTGTGTGTGTGTGTGAGGAAGCGCCACAAGTGGGTGAAACACGGCGCGAGCGAGAGAGCAATACGGGCAGAGTGAGACGGATAGAGTGGGAGGCAGAGGAAGATAGCTCGACCATAGTTTGGTGCACTCGAAACCCCTCCCCCGTTTTAGCCGCCCAACTCGGTTTTCTGGGTGCACAGAAATTGGAAAATAGATTTTTTGGTTGGTTGCCTTTGGCCGGTTTCCTTCTTCGCCTCGCCAGTTTTTTCATTCTTTTGGGGCTTTTTTCTTCGATGAAAGGGTGGTGAATGCACAAGGCCGAAATGTTAACAAAATTCTTAATTTTATTAAAATTTTATTTAAAGTAAAATATCCGGATTAAATCACGAAAGGCTTGTTAAAAGAGTTTTAAAGTTTAAAAAGTATGGAAAATAGTATCTAAGGATATTTATTTTAATAAAATTTGGAGATCACCCAATATATTTTTGAAGAACATCATAGTACCAATAAGTAGGTTAAAAAAAGAATCATGCATTTGCTTGTTTGGTAAGATAACAATAATTTATATTCTTCAACTTTAATACCTCGAATTGGTTTTAAAATATTTCTATAGGAAGTAAGTTCTCCTCGTCTTTGTAAATCAGAGATTTGATATCAGATATATGTACGAAAGTATCGATATCGAACCGATATATATTTGATTTTCTCGCCGTGTTGCTGGGTGTTGATGCTGGTCAACCGGCCGGTTCTCGCCAGGAAGTCAGGAAGCTTGAGGTGGACTTTGGGTCCTTCGGTCTGAGGGGGTTTGATTGAGAATTTGCTTGGGTTCAAGGTATGGCCGGGACAATGTCCCCTCCCCCGTCCCCTTCCCCTCTCCGCCGAGCAGCAACACCCCGCCCCCACAAGACGCAGGCCAGCATTTTTTCCCGCTGCATTTTTCCGGGCTTGGGTTTTTTTCGCCAGAGAGGAAAAAATGAAGCGGAAGCACGAAAAAGCACAAAGTTAATGCGAAATGGGTGGGTTTTCAGGGGGTTTTTAGGGAGCTAGGAGGAGCTAGAGCGCGCCAATATGGCGCTAAGGACATTGGGCAAAATGCACTGCTGGAAAAAATTTCACATTATATGAAGGCAAGTGTGTGTGTGTGTGTGAGTGGGGGGTGTTTGTGTGGGTGGGCGGGGAAGAGAAGCGAAGGCAAAACAGCAAAACACACAAAAACAAAATGGCACAAAAAGAGAGAAGAACAAAAAAATGTAGTCAACGCTGGCTGGTGGAAGTGTGGGTGGGCAAAAGGGGGGAGGGGGGAAGGGAGGAGTTGGGGGATGGTTGGTTAGGGGGCGGTGGTGCTGGTTTTTAGGGGGCGGGAAAATGGGAAATTGGGTGAGCTTTGAGTCTGAGTTTCGGCGTCGACTGCGCTGCCGCCTCGTTATTTTGCTGCTGCATTTGATTTTCGTGCTGAAAAAGTTTCGTGTGCTCGAAAA